ATCGCTGTTTTGATCCCATCAATAAGAAATTATATGTTTCTCGTCATGTCGTGTTTCTTGAGCATATTCAATTCTTTTCTATTTCTGATAATACTCATGCCTTAACTAAAAATGACCTCATTTGTATCGACCCATTCTCTGATGATATTCACAGACCACATTCCCATACCCCATGCACTGTTGATTTTTCATGTCCTACAGGTACACATGTGTCAGCTCATGATACCCTTCCTGATTCTATGGCTTTCCAAGCACCATCTGAGATTGTTGATCTAGCTCTTGTTCCCCATACTCCTCGATATCCTCAACGTATTCGTAAGTCCACTCAATTACCTGATTTTGCTTATTTTTGCTATTCTGAGTCATTTTGTTGTTTTTTAACCTCTATTCACAAACTATCTGAACCATCTTCTTATAAAGAAGCTATTCTTGATCCTCTTTGGCAACAGGCTATGGCTGATGAACTTTCTGCTCTACATAAGACAGACACTTAAGACTTGGTTGCATTGCCTCAGGTAAACATGCTATTGGTTCTCGTTGGGTTTATAAGATTAAAACCAAGTCTGATGGTTCAGTTGAGCATTATAAGGCTAGATTGGTTGCCAAGGGTTTTAATCAGCTGTATGGTTTGGATTATGAGGAGACTTTTGCTCCTATTGCCAAGATGACGGCTGTTCATACACTTATTGTAGTTGCATCTGTTCGTTAGTGGAGTCTCTCTCAGTTGGATGTCAAAAATGCATTTTTGAATGAAAATCTTCATGAAGAGGTTTATATAGTTCCTCCTCCTGGTCTTTCTCGCTCTCCTGGATATGTTTGTAAGCTCAAGAAGGCACTTTATGATCTTAAACAAGCACCTCGTGCCTAGTTTGAGAAATTTTCCACTGTTGTTACCTCTTTTGGTTTTGTATCCAGCCATCATGACTCTACCCTATTCTTTAGATGTACTTCGGTTGGTTGTATTCTACTTTTGTTGTATGTTGATGATATAATTATTACTGGTGATGATGTTGGTTGGATTGCAGATTTAAAATTAGAGTTGGCTCATCGTTTTGAAATGAAAGACTTAGGTGCTTTATCTTACTTTTTGGGTATTGAAATTGCTTCTTCTCCTAGAGGTTATCTTCTCTCTCAATCTAAGTATACTATGGATGTCATTGAGCGTGTTCGTCTTACTGATACTAAAATTGCTGACACTCCTCTTGAGTCCAATGCTAGATATTCACCATCTGACGGTGTACCTTTGACTGATCACACTTTATATTGCACCATTGTTGGATGTCTGGTTTATCTTACCATCACACGTCCTAATATTGCTTATGTTGTTTACATTGTTAGTAAGTTTGTTTCAGCTCCTACTACAGTTCATTGGGCTGCTGTTGTTCGTATTTTGCGCTATCTTCGTGGTACTTGCTTTCAGAATCTTTTGTTCTCATCGACCTCCTCTTTAGTGGTCAGTGCCTATTCTGATGTTGATTGGGCCAGCAGCCCTACCGATCGCAAGTCCACTACTGATTTTTGTATATTTTTGGGTGATTCCCTTATTTCTTGGAAGAGTAAGAAACAGACTGTTGTTTCTCGTTCATCTACTGAGGCGGAGTATCGTGCTATGGCCTCCACTACTACTGAGATTGTATGGTTGCGTTGGTTACTTGCAGACATGGTTGTTTTTTGTCCTCTCCTACGCCTATGTATTGTGATAATAAAAGTGCTATTCAAATTTCTCACAATTCTGTGTTCCATGAGCGCACGAAGCATATTAAGATTGACTGTCATCTGTTTCGCCATCATTTGCAGACTGGCACCATTACCCCACCGTTTGTTTCTTCATCATTGCAGGTTGCTGACTTCTTCACAAAGTCTCATCCAGTTCAACGTTTTCGTTTCTTGCTTGACAAACTCTCGCTGCTTCTTGCTGTGACATCGTGAGTTTGAGAGGGGATGCTAATGTAATAAATATATTAGGTTAAGGGTAGTTTAGTCTTTAATATTTCCTTTGTTTTGTAGTATTTAAGCTCATTGTAATCTCATATTTTTTTCTCTAAGTTTTTGGAGGTAGAAAGAACGGTTCCTTCTTCCTCTTCATTCTTCATCAATTTGTTCTTCTTCTCTTTTGTTTCTTTATCATATTGGTTTGTTGTTTTCTATAGTGTAATCCTATTCAAGTTTAATTGTCAAATTTTAGTTGAAAGTTATATTTGAAAGCTCCTAATGATCATTGTCAAAGCATTATCAAAGATCTGGCTAGTCCAGTTCTTGGACCAACTGTTTATTGGATTAGCAGGTATAATTGTCAAGATGCCCCCAAAGGTTAGGAACATAACGAATCCAAATGAGAGAAAGGATGGCAAACTACACAATTGAATAAAAAAAATTGGAATGCCAGTGGACAACTTCCCAGCAGTTAACAAAATTAACAAGTGCATCAAAATCATAACCCCGCAGACCCTCCCAATCAACATTCTTTACTCATCTTTGCACTATTAGCACAACAGCAGAGGCACGCTCAGGCGTCGTTAACATACAGTTAAAAATGTCAACATGCGAACAACCAGTACTACTTTGTGAAACTTTTCATCTTTGTTAATCCTGTCATTAATTTATTCTCATTAACCATTACATTATGTTTTTAAAAAATATTTATTGTTTTCTGGATTCGTTAGTAGCTCACTAGGATAACAGGATAAGTGTTCAATTTCTTTCAATTATTTTAAATCATCCAGTCTAACGGTGCAAAATCAGTGAGAAATGAAAACAGTGAAATGTTAAAGAGCTTCCTGATGAAAAGTTGGGAATTTTCACATTGTTTCAGCTCCATATCCCATATGTAACTCAATGAACAACTGACAGCTTAAGTTAAATGGCCTACCTGAAACCAATGACATGGGAAGAACTTACTAAACTATGAGAGGCACGTGTTGCTGTAGATTATATGAATTGAACTGATGATTTCAACAATTGAGGAAAGGCAATCAATGAACTTGCAAAATTCTATATCCCTCTCTTTGACAGGATATCATAGATTATGAAAGGTTACCAGGATAAACAAGCATCCATTTGACGACCAACCGAGTTTTCATAGTTGGAAAGAAGCCGAATAAGACTTGATATCTAGTCTTCTTCAGCTACATAAAACTGGTCTGTTCTTTGTTTTCTTTTTTCCTCTCCCTGATAGAGCAAAAGATCATAATTTAGCTGCAAATTAAATTTTAAAAAAAATGAAGAAGAAGAAGAATTACATTCAAATCACTTGACAGAACAAGTCACTCAATCAATCTTAGCTGAAGCATCCCCAAAAACGAAGAACATATAAACCAATAAAAAAGTGGACTTTAGGGTTTATATTCAGATAGAGCATGCAGAGAAATCAAAATTCTCTTTCGGGGGCTTTGCCCCCGCCCCCCCACGAGGGGCGCTGCCCCCTCGACCCTCGCGACCTGACCGGGCAGGTCGATCCCCGTTTGTGCGCCCCGCGTGCCATAGGTAAAGATGAGGCTGACGGCATCTTCTCCTCTACCATTCGCCATGGAGTTGCCCAAAAGAGATCTGAAAATTAGTTGTGAAAGTGGAAAACAAAGCGAAACAGTCAATTCGAATTGAGCTTTTGGGCGCCCAATTTTTTTGTGATGCCTCAGAAAATTAATCTATTTATACAATTATGGTTGATAATGCATCTAATGAGATGATTGTGTATCCTACATTCTATCCTACGTATACAAAAGAGCGAAAGATTGGTTGGACACGTGTCGCAATTTTCCATCTTCTTCCTTTTTTTTCCCCTTTCGTTCTTTCATTACTCCACGTAACCGCTCAAATATCTCATCATCCCACTCCACAATCCCATATCCCATACCTTCAAAATCTGATGAAATCCCGACCTAAAAGCTTATTTAAGCACTGCCATATCTCTATTCAATCCAATTCTGTCCAAAATTGATTGACCCAAAAACTTCTCCATCACAGATTGTTTATACATTTGGAAACGAGCAGCTCCATGGTCACGTATCATCAACAAATATTTTAAATCAGAATCTCTATAATTTTTATGTAAGTATATGTTTATTTTACTTTCAAATAACCATTTATTTTCTTTTTTTTTAATTCTATTTTTTCTCTTTGAATTAATCATCATTAAATAGTGCTTATCTTCGAGTTTAATTTAAATAACAAGAAAAAAAAATTATGGCTCTGTGCACGCACGGACCTGTTCAAGTTTAAAAAAAAAAAAAAATTATGGCTCCACTCACGTACGAGATTTTCAATTTTTTTCCTTTGAGTTAATCATCAATAAACATCAATAAAGAGTGATTGCATGCATTGCTTATCTTCAAGTTTAATTTAAATAACAAGAAAAATAAAATAAAATAATTATGGCTCCATTCGAGTTTATATATATATATATATATTCTCTGTGCCCATTCATTTTAATTTAATTTAATTTTTTTTTTTGTGTAAAAAAAATAACTATCTTTCCTTTTCCTTTTCCTTTTTCTTTTTTTTTATTGCATTGCATTCTATCTTCATTTTTTTTCGTTGTTGTCCTTCTCTCTGCCTAACAATTTTCTGTAAACTCTCTCAAGACATCATAAACAATATCATCAAAATTGGCCTCGTCATTTGCTGACTTCGAGATAATGTGATTGATTAATTTTGCTAGGTGTAGTCTTGAACTCATACAACACATTTCTTTCTTCGATTCTTAAGTCAGAGTTAAGGATTTAATAATTTGGATTTGGATTGAAAAGTAATCATTTCTTTTTTTGACAGTTGTTAATCTGTGCCATTTAGTTTATGAGCTCGTTTGTCTGTAATGGTGAATTGAAATAGTTTAATTTTTAGTTTTAATTTCATTTTTTTTTACAGTTGTTAATCTTATCAATATCATTAGTATTCCTCATTTGTTTTTTAATGGTGAGTTGAAATAGTTGGATTTTTTGTTTTAATTGATATTACTTGTATATCTAACTGATTTTGATCGTATGAACTAGGGAGTAAAGTAATATCAATTACACTTATGCTATTTTAATTAATTATATCAATTAAGTTTGGTGTTCACTATCTACATTAATTTGAAAATAATTTGAAGATGAGATGTTATTTTAATCAATGCTTATGATATTAAAGGCAAAGCAGAAAATAAAGAAGATTTAAGAAGACGTCTTGGGCTTTCTTCTAATGATATCAGGTAGCCATTAATAATTCTGATTAGTTTCTATGCTTTATTCCAACTATGATGGAAGGACAATAAATTGCAATCATTGCTACAAATTGCTCGATGAAAAGGTAAATTGGTAGAGTTGACAGCCTAATATTGTGGATTTTGAATTTGATTCAACATGTGTATAAATATTGCCCATTTTGTGGGTTTTTTTCGTGCATTTTTTATTCCTTTCATACTTCCAATGTTTCATTTTTCTTCATCTGTTCCAGTGCCTTAGTTTTTTGGTGAAATTTTAACTTTTTTTCAAATTTTTATTATAGTTTGCTTTTGATTTTGTTGGGGTTTATACATAATTCTAAAAGTTTTAGTTATTTTTTGCGCTGGAGCATTTTTCTATTTTGCGAGTGTATGAATTTCAACTTATTCTGGGTGATTTATTCTCAAATTGAATTGATTATGTGGTTTCTTCTTTTGATGACATATTTTTCCTTTGTGTTATTTTATTTTATTTGGTTGTGTGTGTGTTTTTTTTAAACGTATAACAGCTAAAATAATTGATTGTTGCTCAATCTCATCGTTCGAAGATCTCAGGACAATTCCATGTGCGCGAATTATTTTTTAAAATTATTCTTTTTATGATCTTGAAGTAATCTAATTCAATTTTGTTTGTAGGATTTTACGAAAATATTTTAATTCGATATTGGAGGTGATATGATTAAAGGTATATGTTGCAGTTCATTAAGTACCTTTATTAAGTGATATATGTGATTTATTAGATTATTTCTTTTTCATTTTAATTAGTTTATTATCCTAACAAGATAATAGAATTGTGATATTTCGTAAGTTCATGTAAATAAACCATGATTGTTGAATATTATGAGAATTGTCATAGTGAGGAATGATTAAGATAGAAAAAGATGAATTGTTATAGTTATTATTCATACTTTCCAGTTCCAATGTGGATTACTTTTGTCAGGAAAATTTTCATATCTTTGTACTGAATTTATCTCTAGAAGCATTAAAATATCATCGACGTCTAATTTTTCATAATATTTTCTTTTAACTTATAGTCAGACAATTAATCTATTTGTAAATGTAGGTACATTGAACATGATGAACTGGTGTAGAGTTTGTCATGTTGTCATCAAATCCAAATATCTTTGGTCTCTACACCAAACTTCTAAAAAAAAATCAAGAGGTAACACTTCGATTATGCAATGAACAAATGTTTGAATCGGTTTTAGGGTGTAAAGTTGTATGAGTCGGTTTTAGGGTGTAAAGTTGTATTAGAGATGAAATCACAGCTGATGTAACGGGACAATCCTCAACTATTCTATGGAATTACGGGGTTGTGTTTCATAGTAATAATACGATTCATGAGCATTCATTAAAATAATTGATTAATCTTTCTCAAGAAAAATTCGCGAAATTTTTAAAATCTTGTCAAATCCGCTTTCCTTTCCAATTCTTGATTTGAAGTTCCAAGTTTGTTCCCCAAAATCTTGTGCAATCAAGTTCTTCTTCTCCAATTCTTCATTTAGGATTTAACTTGAACGCGTGATCGTCTCTATCTCTTCTTGCTTATGTCGTTGTTAGATGCCTTTATATCTCAAGACTTATTCTTCCACAAGAATTTGGTACATTCTCGGTATTAGGAGTTGAAGTCGATTTCCATAGGAATATAAAACTTAATTTGAGCTTGCTTATTGTGTTCTTTTGGCTTTTCATTTGAATAATATTGCAATTTTACTACTTTGAGCTGGGAAGAAACCATAAATACAACCTAAATTCTGTTATAGACTCGATTTTTTAAAATTTCAGTGATAAATATTATCCCAATAAACTTAACCCCCTCTTAATTTTTTAAGAGTCTAATGAATTTGATATACTTGTTCATTTTTCATAAATATATACATTCATTGAGGAAGATTCTCAATCTAGAATAGTAGGTCCTGTGATACATGTAAAAAAGGATGTTTGAACGACTAATGACCCTCTTGAGTTTCTTCTTTGTGACTTGGTCATATGGAATAATTTAGATATTTATGGTATAAAATATTTTGTTTCGTATTTGCAAGTTTATAATTTTTGTTGGAACCCAATTTCTTCTCTCAGTTTCAAAATACCAAAAAAAAAACTTAGGTAGCACT